TATTCCTATAATCTTGCCTAATTTTCACTTGCATTTGATAACCTCCAATACTAACACATGAGTGGATCGTAATGACTGCGTCATTGTCTCTTAAAAGTCTTTTTACAGGAAGGATTCCAGTCTCGGTAAGGCTCATTACTAGCCAGGGAAGGAATTTTTCATTCATTTTTATTTATACACTTCCTATTCTCTGAGCAGTCCCACTTACAAAATAAAAAGCAGCAGGAGCAGGTATATCAGCTCCGATTAACAAAGGATGGTACAGGTGGGTTAGCACCCAAAGCACGCACCTGGGAAGAAAATGAGCAGCGCTGAATCGTGTGTTCTAAAACCACATTTTAGCTGAAATAATTTAATACTGTTTTACAGAAGTGCTTGTTTATGAAACAAATCCTCTTGGTTGAAGAGGTTTTAGTGCCCATTCGTTTGGGATGGTTTGATTGGGGGTAGACCTATAAACATTGGACAGAGAGCCTAGGGAGAGATGAAATGGATGGGGTAGATACGCCTCTATTCCCCTTCAGATCAATTGCTCCCCTTCCTGCACTCAGGTTAACACATCTCCAACAGGAGACATCAGTCTCACATACCATAGGCTTGATTTTACAGCCTTTATTTATGAGAATAAGAGGTCAGAGCCTCTGTTTTGCAACTGCTGTGCTGCCTACTGCCCCACAGATCTGATTTTACGCTCATATGTGCTACTTATATACATTTCTCTGGAAGACTACAATAGGGGTCTTTGTTTGAAAGAGGCATTCAACAGTCTGGTACCTAAGTTCTCTGGCAAGTTGCCTGGGAAGGAATGGCTCAATGTTATAGAGCTAGAGGACACTGTAATACATTTATGAAGTAAGTGATGCTCTCCTTGTACTGTGTAAACAAGCATTATACTTGCACAGAGTAATAATGGGTTTCTCATCACTGTTAACAGCATGATTCTAGTAATTAAGCCAAATAAGCCCCGTAAATGATGCAGCAATGGTAGGCTCCAACAAAGAATAGTCAATTTAAATAATTAACCAGTCTTTATGGTATGACCATCTTCATGTCACAGCAAAGTTGTTGTGCAGCGGATAACATTACAAAGAAGAAGAAAAAAAACCCCCTGTTTAATTTTTAAACTAAAACGAGCTCATCTTACTGTTTATGTAGGCGTCTAACAAAAATTAAAAATAAGCTTACTCCTAAGGCAATAAGCAACGGTTACTTTAAAAATATTGAGAGTTGCCAAGTTTTTGTAATCAATATGAATGATGTTCTTGGTTTACAAATGAAGATACAATTGACAGGAATGTCTCCTGTGTATATTTTTCTTTCAGAATCATGGGGCAGAGGAGGAGGAGGGAGAGGGGGTTGCATTTTTATTTTTATATTTTAAAGGTTTTAACTCAGCTTGGCTTAGAAGCTTTAAAACTTCACACCTGAACAAAGGTCATTTAGCTCCAGCCGGACAGGAAGAGTTGCATGTGAATTGGGGCTTCCCCAGATGAAGGAAGTGATGCTGGGAAAAAAAAGTGGATGCAGAAGTTGCTCTAGAGAATGAGGAATAAAGCTAGATTGGCAATCTCTAGTTTGTGTGTATATTTTGTCTTAAATTTTAAAGATTTGCAGAGTAATTACTAGGCAGCCCGTGATCACAAATTGTCTAACAAGACGGCACTGGAAACATTCAGAGCAACAGGCTAATGAGAACCGATAATGAAAGCCCCCAAAGTCGGTTCAAAACACCGGAGATATTAGACCTCAGGAATTCCTAAACTCCATCCCAGCCATAGCCCAAGGGCACTTAGCGCATCTTTTCTTTTAAGAGGGGAAGAGAAGCAGCCTGCAGGTGTGGCAGCCGCCAATTCAAGTCGTCTGAGTAGAAGGGGTCTGGTTTGAAGCATGAACCCAGGGCCTGAGCTGGTCAGGCAGTCGAGCCCCGAGATCCATGGGGAGAGGGGCTCCTGGGTAACATCTGAGCTAGGGGTAAGCAACTCCGGTGGTTTGTGGAAGGGACTAAGAGGAGGCAAGGAGGTCCCCAGCTGGCCCAAATGAAGAAAGGGGCCAGAAAGCCCAGAGACTGTCAGCCCAGGAGGGGGCGCCAGCAGGGCCAGGGATCCCATAGGTCTCACTGGCCCAAGAGCGGGGCCAGGGCCCAGAGATAAGCTGAAGACTGGTGGGGCCAGGGGAGCCCAGGAGTCTCGACTGGCCTAGCAGCAGGGCCAGGGCTCAGGCCCAGAGAGAGAAGCCAAACACTGGAAGTCACAGCCAGAGACTAAGGGGGTGAAGGAGCCTGCAGCCCAAGAGGGGTGAAGACTGGGGCTGAGAGCCTATAGCTCAGGCGGGGCACATGGCAACAGGCATAAGCATCATTTGCAAGATGTGTGTGTGGTGTAAAGGGCAGTCGGAGCCATGTAATTAGCCCTTAATGCAAGTGGAAGGGGAGGTTGCCCAAAAGAGAGCAACGTTGATAAGAGCTGAGGGGGCTCCAGGGGCCTTACAGCCACCCACGCAGCAGGACCCTTTTACACTAAGGAATGCCAAGTTTTAGAATACAGTTGGTTAACAACCATTTCGGAGATCTATTGTACCATAGGACGATAAACCGTGACCAAAGAGGAAATCTGAACATGAGTGTGCCTGTGCCAGTGCATGTGCACACGAGAAAGTCAATGAAAGGGATATAGAAAACGGCTCCGATTCCATCCACTGCCCAAGCCATTAGGAAGCAAAAAAGCCAAGGTAAATTAGTATTGAAACTTACTTTGGAGACCAGTAAAGCTGTTTGGAACAGATCTACTTGAAGAGTCTTATTCCAAGATTTTATTCATTAGGAAGCATATAGCTATGCAGTAACAAGAGACAAACTATAATAGTCTGTCTCCCTGCTTTTACCAGTGCTATGTTACAGAGTATCATAGCATTTTGGATATTGTTTCTTGTGATGGTGACTGAGAGTTTAAATTGGGAACTTCGGGGATATTTAATGACCAGATTTAATGGCCCAGAAAATTCCTTCTAGTCTTGTGTGTCCCTAAGAAATCTGCTGTTTCTATACCAGGTTGATTACAGGCATATGAGAATTGCAGGCACAAATATATCTGAGTGCAGAATCCAACCCTACATATTTCAATAATTTGAGAATAGATGAACGAAGTAAAAAAATCTTTAAAAAAAAAAAAATTCCCTTGGTATTTGGAGGGTAGTTTCAATTCACAGAAATATTTTAAAGAAATAATTAAAAACATTGAAAGCTCAATTACATGAAGGAAGGTCAGCATGAAGTGCTGATTAACTCTAAAACCAAGGGTCAGGAACAGACGAGTCATGATCTTTCTATCATGTTATGTCACTTCTTATATAGGCAAGAGCTCTCTTACCGAACAAGGCTGGAACATAGATGTATACTCCTGTAGTACCCCCTGCTGACCAAACATGATATTGAAGAATATACAGAAAGGGGGCAGTTTAGTCTCAGAATAAATCAGAAACCAGATTACATTTTTGAAAAGGTAATCATTTATCTTGCACTTGAATCAGTCCAACTGAGACCCAATAACATGCATTTGGGATGTAGTCGCTTTTTAAAAAGGGAAAAAAATAACTTAGGAGGATGTAAGTGCCCATTTTCACCATTACATCATTTCTCACAAGAAAGTTCTCATTTAAACTGATGCTGGAATTCCAAATCTTGTTAAATGTATTGGTGGTAAAGGGTGACAATTGCTATCTGAAAGATCAGAATGAATGCTAGGGATTTGAGTGTTATTGGATTTGGGCAATCGCTTACATGGAAACTAAGGTGCACATCTCTGGGCATCTTTACATGTGCTCCTAAAGCAGCTCTGGGTGCTTTTAATTAGTGATCTGCGCTAAGCACCTGTGTGTCACGTCAGTGGTGCAGTGCATCCACGCACTGAGAAAATGGCAGTGGGGTGCTTTGAACTAAAGCACATAGAACATGTTTTATTTCAAAGTGCACTGCTGCCATCTTCTCAGTGAGGAGACGTGGTGCACCGCTGATGCACGTGATGCGCGAGCCTGCCAGAGCATGTCAATTTATGTGCTCCAGCAGACTTGACTGAATCTGATCCGATGTGCTGGATTTCCAATGCATCGGACGGAGCAGGCTCCTGCATGTGTGTAAGTGCCCAATATGTGTACTTTAATGGGCATTACTCTATTTTAATACATATTACAGTCACAAAACGTGCTCTTTCACTAATGCGCATTAAAATAGACTAATGAACATTTTCAAATACTTCACCATGGAGGTACTAGATTTAATGCACATTACCTAAGGCGGATTACTGAATGCGTAGATGTGCCCAAGATGAGACACAAATAATTAAAGGTAGGTGCAAAGGTTCCTTATTATAAAACTCTTTATAAGAGATGGGACAAATCTAAAAGCTTGTGCGCCTGCCTCTCCTGCAAGGCTCACTTTGTGAGAGTATTTATCAAGGGCTAACGCATGATACATCTCAAGTTATACCTCATGGAACACCTAAATTTTCCTTTTTATTTGTGAGTCCGTAAATCAATTTCTTTATCCACCGATGAGTGAAACACACACCCACGCCCTTATAGCACCCCCTACAGCAATAGCTGATACAAAAAATAATCTATTAGGAATGCACTTAATGTGATTTACCAGCAAGGGAAGAGGCTGAATGATAATCATATGTTTGCTGGCTCTTAACGATTATGGGCAGTATAGGAACCAATGAATTAAGGCATTAACCAAATGCTCATTTCTGTTAAGGAAACAAGACATATAATTTTTATTTTTACTGACATACAATAAATATAATACAGAACAAAAACATCACACCAATTGTATTACACAAGCTGTTCATTAGAATACATAATATTTTCTTTTCATTAGCCCTTTTATAGGGTTTTGGTATTGGATATTATAAAAAATTCCAATTTAAATCTGTCAACACAACAATCTTTTCTCATTTTCATCATTATATATTTCATATAATCATACATACTTTGATTTTTTTAAAAAATATATAAGCAGTGTTTGAAATTCCTAATATATGCCTATACTTCTTAGACCTCTACTCATACCATCCAAATTCCAAAATAATTAATTGTTTAATCTGATTTTAATTTTTGTGGTTTAAAAAATACAACACTATGCTATTTAATTTAACTGACGTCCCTCAGAAAATGAAGCAACAGACAAAGGAAGTCCCTGTTAAAGCCAGTATTTACTCATAAAAAGTAAAGGCAAGGATCTAGTCTCTGCTTCACCAGCATGGAATCTGGACTAAATGGGGAGCATAATTTGGTAATCAAGCAAGGAACTGGAGGTACAGTTCCCATAGGAGACATACATCTTTATGTCAATTTCTAGTGCCATCCTGCTGCTTTCTTGGTTTTAAATCACTGCGTCAAGTCAGTATAATATTTTTCTCTCCATGCATATATTCATCACTGACTGGAAATCAGATAAAAATGCTACATTTCTGTTTATCAAAAATAGATCAAGGTTTAAAACACTTTGAAACTAGGATTTATTTAAGTGCAAATGCAATATGCATCAGTGACCAGCAATTGAGGCTCTAGTCTCACTAAGGAAAATGTGTTACAAAATTATGTTGACACAAAAATATTTCATAGAAGATGTGTACCTAGAACTTCTGTCCTTTTGAAACATCTGAATAATTAGGAACCTCTAAACACTTCATACAAACAATGCACAGTATCTTCATCATTTCAATCTAGTGGTTTTGCGACACTCAAGAGTGGCTGTCTGCTTTAAGTCTTGCTTCTCAAATCATTTCAAGATGCAGAGAGCTCAATTTTATTACATTTTAATGCCATAATCTGCAGCAAAAAATTTCCAGTTAAAAATTATGGGTTTTGATCATCTTTAAATTCTAAAAGATTTGAAAAGATTAGTTATCCACCTGCTATCACAAAAAAAAAAAAAAAAAAAAAAAGGCTAAAGAAAAATGTTTTGGAAATAAGCTCACCTTTTACATCTCTACCTCAAGCTATCAAACCTAAAGTCACTACCAGGAATCACTTGGCTATCATGAGCCAGTGCTAAAATCAGATTTACCTTAAGTTCAACATGGAAGTCAACAATAGGTTGATTAAGTGACTATGTTTAATGTAAGTTTGTTTAAACTGCCTCTCCCAATTTGGTATTGACTTTTAAACCTAAATGCACAGGACATTTACCAGCAATTGGATCACAGTTTTATCTATCAGGTTGCTTTAAAACTGAATCAAAATTACTTAGCATGTGCATGGTCTAATCAAAGTACTTCCAAGCCTTTCACAATTTGCAATTAAACAATTAAGATTCAAAGGCCAGATTTCAACATTATTACTCAGTTAACTCTAGAGCATTCACTGAACTTGTACCCACATTCTGTGTTAAATAAGTTTCCAATGTCAAATGGAGAGGGGTCTATTAACCCAGGATACAGTTATTGCCAAGTTAACAGCAAGCATTCCTAATTACAACTGTTGTTTTAATGAGTTCTCCTCCTCTCACCATTTTGCAGCTAAAAGATGTTCGACAAAGTTGTGATCTGTCCAATGAATTTTTAAAACTTATTTTTACCTTTAAAAAAAATGAAACCCCTTGCCTGGTGTAAGACTGGATTCCTTCTCCCCCTTCTATTTCTGTATGTAGAAGACAGGAGAAAAAATAATTTTATCATTTAATTTTTTTAACAATTACTCATTAGGCAAGGCAAATCTCCCTCTGAAACAATACATCAGGTTTATAAGGGCAGTGATAAAAAGGATGGAGCAATTGGGAAGAGTGGCCATGTTTACTGTCACGAGCTGTAAAATGTTAGGCTGTAACTGATGAGCATGTAGGGATTTGCATATTATACACTTAGTGCTAGGCTAGCTGCCCTCAGCATGGGACTAGGTATTTTTATAACGGAACAACATCAAATTGTGCATCAATAACCATACAAACATCCCTGCATCATATTTACTCTGTGGGATATTCACATCTTTGCGGAGCATTCCTAGCCAAAATGCTCAAGGTGCACAGCAACAAAAATAACAAAACAAAAAACAAACAAAACCCACCAATAATATAAAACAAAAATTCATTTTTTTAAAAAACACAGAAGTACAGCAATTGTAAGGAAGATAATAAATGAACGACTAATAGTTGCCTTTCTACACAAACCTTTTTTGGAGAAGAAGAAAATGATTGCTTTTAAAGGATCACTGGATTTTTTTTTTACTGCATTAAGTCCCATTAACTGATACCATGCAATATTTTAATAAAGAATATTCCAAAGGTAAACCGCATGTGGAAATACTATACAGAAAGAAAGATCAAAATGATTGAGATAGCCTTTCAGTTCGTCCTTGGCAGACGTTACTTAAATCAGTTACTTAGACCATGTTACTTAGATGCGATTAAGACCAGTTAATTGTATCTTATAGTGTTGCCTGGCCACAAATTCAGGTGATTAATGGCACAACAAAACGCAAAGAAAGCCACAAAATTTATTACAAAAAAATGTGTAATAAAATTTGTGGCTGATTTCAAATGGCAGATGAATGTGTGGCCAGGTGGACCACACTGGGGCTCTAATGGCCTCCAGCGTGGTCCCTGCTAGTTACTGATCAGCTGATCAGGGGCTGGCCCTGGGGGAATCAAACCGGCTCAGTCAGTCTCTAGAGCCAGCTGACAATCAGCTGACTGCTGGGCACCTTTTCCTGTCCAGAGGGTAACTGGGATCATGATCCTGGGTTCCCTCTGTATTGGCTAATAGGGCACGATTGGGGTCTCATCCCTGATCCCAAAATTGTGCACGCTGCCAAGCATGTTTAGAATGGCAGGAGGCATGAATTTGGAGATCACAGATCAAATCTCAACACACTTTTAACCAAATGTGTGTCAGCAGCCAGTAGGTCTGACTAGCCATGGAATGGCTCCTAAAAACTTCAGTAGGCTTTAGATCAAATCTTAAGTTAGCTCAGGAAGTAACTCTGCAAGAAAAAATACTGAATGGTCTGTCCTTTGCAAAATTTCATTTATATTAAGGAATATATTGGTGTTAGTACTTAGATACTAGCACTCCACTCCAGAATCAGGGATTCTGCTTCAGTTATGTCTTAGATTAGATTAGAATACCCTGAATATTAGCATCACTATATTATCACTGGTACAGAGGCAGCTGGGGGGAAGGTTGGAAATCAGCATGGTCCTATTAACTGCTATGTTATCCTGTGCAGATGATGTAAGGTACAACCATGCAGATAAACCACATGAAGTATAAATCTATGTATGCAGCTGTTTTTCTGAAAGGAAATTAAATATGAAAGCTATGATATTAAGCAGCTGAACGAAACTTACAAATGACTGCCATTTTGTTTTTAAATCACCCCATTTGGTATAAGTAATCACTTTGTGCTTGGTAGAAAATCATTTCCATTTCTCTTAGAGATAATGCCATGAGACAGTTTATATACAGCACAAAGAACTAGTAGTGGTACTTCAGCAGAAAGTTGGGAGGCAAGAGAAACTGAACACACTCCCACACTCCACCTGCCACACCCTGCCAGGAAATATTAGGAGATAAAGCTTTGGCTGCAACTCCCCCCCCCAATAAAATATAAAACACCCAACCTAACAAATAGCAGAGGCAACATATATTATGGTATACAGATCTTTTTTTTTAAAATGGTAATATCATAAGGGTTTACACTGGGATAAAAAATATGAATACAGTGTAGTCCTATCACTCAGCACTGCACTAGAAACCTTAACTCCTAACATTAACTTACTGCCTTTTAATTTTATTTAGAGTCACTGAAGCAATAAGAAATCAGTTAAGAGTCTGTCTTCCTGAGGCTATTTCAATGCTAAATTAGACTTTGCATGCATAAATTCACCTTGCATCCAACCGGTTTTCTAATCCTTTCTCTTCTTGTAACTTAAAATAGGCTCAGTGCAATTCACTTGTTTCTCCAAGACAGATGTCTCTTTTAAATAGGGATCAAAAATTGCAAAATTCAACATAATCAGCATTTTCTTTCAAAAAATTATAAATATGTAGCCAGGTGTCACAAAGTCGTCACTCTGACACCTTAATTAAAGCAATTACTACAGTAAACAGCAATACCTAGGCACAGTTGGGATAAGCAAAAGACAGAATGGCAATTACAATGGCATAAGGCAAGGAAAATCAATCATCAGACTCTAACTTTTCTTGCCTGGTATGTTAGAGAGGTATGCAATGCAAACAGTTACAGCTACATGCAATGCATACAAGCAGCACAGTGTCAAGTATCACATGCCCAACATGTGCAATACTGTATTTTCAGCCTTCACTTTAAAATGTCCTTGGGCATTTTAAAGGATGTGGTCACTGAAGACACTAGTCCAGCAAAGTGTTGAATCACATGTGTGACACTACATTGGGGTTACTCAGGTGCTTGAGATCACACGTGTTTAACTGCTTTGCACTGCAGATACAAGCAGTAAGAAGTTAATGCAGCTTTCTGTATTTAATGGATCAAGCTGAATGTAACACAAAAACTGGATTGCAAAGCACTGTATTAGAGAGATCACAAGACTCTCACCAGACTCCTAAATTCTAGGACTCATTTTGTGACATTTTAGAAAATAACTCATATGTAAAAACATCTTCATGTGTAGAAAAGATGATAATTATTTAGCTGCCTCATAAGGATGTTACAAAAATTAGTTAATTGCTAGGCAGAGCTTATACACGTGGCATTCTTTTTCTATTATGTAGGCATATATGGGAATCACTGCTCTTCACGTGTGCAATAGCATTCAAAGTAATGCTCAGTTCAAAAGTTAGAAGATTAGGATCCATTAAGTGTATGCACTTCCTACAGGAAATAAGTCAGAATCAAGACATTCCAATTAAAGTGAAACAGAACATTGTCCAGTTATGCCAGCACACAATGAGGATGCAAAATTTAAACAAGAGAATTCCTTCACATTACTGTAATAAGAAACTGATTCCAGTTGCATGTCATGTAAAAAATATTCAGCCTGTCACCACTATATCAGAGGTACCTGAGATTCAAAGCTAAATCTCTTGTGCATTTTCCAAGCACCTATTATAGAAAGCTACAAGATTTACATTTCTAACAAGACAGTATATTTATAAAAGGTGTTCTTGTACTAAAAATCACAAGTTGATATAGAAAAAGTCTCATCACATTCTATTAAATGCAGGTGCGATGTAACATGTCATAACATAGCCTCAGTAATTAATACTGTAATGTATAGCTCTTGTAACTTAAGGGCACCATTGTTTAAAAAAAACTAAGGCCTTCCAGGAATAATTTATTTTACATACCACTCCCAATAGCTTAATCAAAATATTTATGAAGTCACATCAGGTATTTAACACTTTTCCTTTCTCTCTTTTCTTTTTTTAAATAACGGCACTAAGAATTCTAGAACAATTAATTTTATTATTTTAAAGAAAAAGAATCAGTGAGGAGGTGGCAGCATTTGAATTGTTTGGTTAAACACACTGTTATTTTAACCGTTTTAGGGTGCTCAGAGAGAGAGATTTTCCTCTGCACATCAATGTTATTTTTTTCCCAAAACAAAGTACATCTCTACTCAACTTAATATTGATGTGTGTGTGTCCGGGGGGGGAGGGAGCGAGGAAGGGATTTGATGATTGACTGTATTTTCAATTATATCTTGTAGAGTTAAATATGGGTTCTGGTTGACTGTTATACCTACAGTTCAATACTACTCTGGGTCAGTAATCAATCTGAAAAGCAAACATTAGTATTCTCCCTAAAATACTGCAAGACACCTGTTTGAAAGCAAAATTAGCCTTGCCAAGCTTATCTCTGCAGATGCCACAATTCTTCCTGTCTAGTTGCTATGGAGAACATAATTTAGTGTTGGCATTAACTAAGCTAGCTTGATAAAAGCCAAATCTCAATGGAGGATCAAAACATTATTTAAGGAAATAACTATTAGTATTCCACAGCCAGTATGTCTTAATGGCTTGTCTGAGCCTGCAGAAAGTATGTAGCTCACATACTCTGAAATTGTCATGCATCCTAAAAACATTTTTACTCTTATCAAAATTCTTTTCTTGCCAAACAGCCAAAATTCTACTGAAGGTCAACTATTAAGAGTCCAAAAATAGCATTTCAAGTTCCTTTCTGCTTGGAGACGCTGGGTAACTGAAGCAGTCAACAACTGGACATATGCTTATGGGCTTCTTATCTAGTCCAGATACTTTATTAATTTTAATGTATAGCATCAGTATTTCTTTCCAGGGTTTATATCCACTGGCAAAAGTTGTACTATTTTACTTTTCTAAATACAGCAATGACAATCTACAGTCCTATTGAAAACATTGATTCATTTATCACATTTCAACAAATAGAGCAGCGTGGCAGTAGGTTGGAAGACTTGAGCCATACAAAAATAGCCATTACACAATAATTTCATTATTAAATTAGGCATCTCTGACTTTAAATTACTTATCAGATTGTGGTTGAGAGGAGTCAGTAATTACAAAATTTAGAAGACTATTGGATGCTTTCCAGAAATAGAAAGCTCATTCAGAGTTCTCAATATTAAATAATTTGGACTATTAAAGCCATTTAAAAATAGACTGATTCTATACTATGAACTTTCATTTAGAAGATAAGAATATATTAAGTGCCATACCGGGTCAGGCCAAGAGTCCACCTAGCCCCGAATTCTGTCGCTGACAGTGGCAGTAGTGACTTCAAGTACCTGGCCAACTATGCTTATAGTAATGATAAATAGATAACCTTTTTATACTAAAACTAAAAGTTTCAGTTTGTTAGGTCATAATAAATTTTTAAACATGAGCACCCACTGTGTTACAAGGATTCTTAAAACAGGATAAGACAATATGTGTAGTGTTTGAGAACCTTACAAAGATCCTGCTCCAATAACTTGCAAAGAATGCATTTATTCAATAAATTAAAATATTTTCTCTATTTTCTTGTATTTATATTCAAATAGAGTTTGCACAACATAAAAAAAAGTTAATCCGTACCTACTACAGGTAACTTATGCATTTAGCTTTTCATATGAAAGCCTGTAAGAAATGACAACCTGCAGATTTGTTTATGATTCACTTTAAAAGTATTTTTTTAAAACTAATTTTGTCCAGCATTTAACAAAAATGTGAAAGCTTAAGGAAAAAGAAAAAAAAAAGTCACCAGAACAGCAGTCACTTCCTTGATTATGTCAAGTAATTTCACCAGTTGAGTTCTCTAAGGCAGGTTGGTTGTTCAAATGGATTAGAATTTTCTACGGCCATAGGTGATATGCATGTAATCAAGTTGTTCATTTATAAAACGGATGAAAACAAGCACGTATGAAGAAAAAATGGTTTTAAGTTTCAAAAGAACTGAAACATTTACACTACAAATTCAGAATAGGCACTGAAAAATGATTCCTTAGGTGTTTTCCAGGAGATTGTCTCTTCGCTGATCATCATTCCATCTTTAAACTAAGAAAAAGAAATTAAAACATAAACAAGTCAATTTTTATGCATTTTTTGATCCTACAAACCTTTTATATGTTTTTCCAGGCAGGGCATTAAACACATTTAACGGACACTGGCTACACACAGAGGCATAACTGGTAAGGCTTGCACCCTGGGCAGCTGCTATGGGAGGAGACATTGCTGCAGGTGGTGGTGGGGAAGCCTTGGCTGCTGCCTGTGCCTACACTTTCCCTCAAAGGAGCTGTACCTCTGAAGCAGCATGGGACTGCCAAAGCCGATGGAGGAATTGGGGAAACACGCTGCCAGGTGCCTCACCAACTGCAAGAAACTTCTACTCCTACTTCATGGAGCCAAATCCTTGAGCCAGCCCCAGCCTTCTGCCCCCAAAGTGCTACAAAATCTCACTGTCAATGGCAAGGGACAAATGTAGATTTGGGAGCACAATAGGTCAGCACCAGGGACACATGCCCTGGCTGCTTAACCCAAAGTTACACTATTATTTACACAATATGTTGAAAAACACATTGCAAATTTATTGAGATATTTTTCTTTCAAGGCCAAGCAGGCAATGTAACAACACAGAAATCAAATTTTTTCAGATGTTTCACTTCTGGTTTTATTATCCCTGCAAAATTCTACAACATTTTCTTGTCAGGAAAGGTAGTTTACCTTCTTTCAAAGAATAATAAACTTTATTCATTAGAAGTTTGGTAAAACGGTGGAAAATTATAATATACTTCACTGGTAAATTTCAATGACATTTTGAAAAGTTTTAGATCATGTAAATGAGAGGTCTGGGATAGAACAATTAAAGCTACTGAAGAAAACATTAACAAGGGAAGTTTATTTTTTAAAACCGTATGAAATATTTAGAACAAAGCTGAAATGTGCTACATACAGTTAAAGAGTACAGTTTAAATCTCTTAGTTTGTGGTACAAAACTCTGTATTAAAACACTGTTCGTAACTACAAATTCAGAAAAAGGAACTCCACATTATGCTTAGCTTATTATTAAATATTAAAAAAATGTACTTATGGCAGAATAACCTTAAAACACTTATGGAAAGCACCAACAAACTCAAAAGGATAAAAAAAATTGCCCTGGTATTGTCATTGTGTAGAATCTGAACTTTCATTATGCCCTTTGAAGTTCACTTGCTGAACATACCTCTTGTTTATGAGCAACAGTTATCTCCATCCTCTTGAGAAACACTATGCATAGGGATGAGACTTTCACATTGTTCACTTTCCTCTGGTGTTCTTAAAGAGATAAAATATTCATGTTATAACTGAAAAAAAATTAAAATTGCCCTAAGTTTTAAAATAGACATGAATGGATGGTAACATCTTGAGTTACATTTATCTCAGCGACTCAACATTCTATAATTAAGAATTCGGTCATAATAAAAAGCAATGAAATAGCCATTTTGTATTATAGCAGGGGTTTCAAATATATGGTCCATGGGGCTCCTGCAGGAGCTGTGACTGGCAGCAGAGCCAGCAAGTGGCAGTGGCAGTACACACGTGGTGAACTGAACCTACAAAGTAGATGAGGGACCTGCATGGATTCACACCACCATCACTCACTCTACCACTGAAATCTTGGGTGTGGAGCCCTGTTATGGACTCCTTTTGGCAGCAGTGGGGTTAGTAACAGTGGTATTAACAAACGTGGCTCCCTGAGCGGACACAGTGGCTTGAGCTGCTGGAGGCATTAATGCTGCCACTGCTAGCCCTGCTGCCAGCGGTGGGTCTGGATCTGGCCAGAGGGCCAAATGAGCTTGATACCTGGTATTTAGGAAATATCGCAGGAACAATACAATTTTACTTTTGCCTAATTTAAGTGGTTGTCACTGCAGAAAAAAATTGAATATAATATGGGTTTTTTTAAATGTATTCTTCTTTCATTGGACAGCATTGCATTCCACAGGTTAGAGGGTGGAAATATGGTAAATGACCATGTAAATTCTTTAATATTTTCCTTGAAATGACCTGAAAGAAGGAAAGATACTGAAAAAAGAAACAGGAAACAACACTATGATTTATGAAAGAGAAAGAAGAAAGGAAAATTACCTCTGAATTCGATGCTTTCGACAGATGAAGGCAAAAATCCTTCTAATTCCCACCATCACTGGATCCCAGTTGTTATAATGGCATAACAGAGTTGCAATGAAAAAAGAAAAAAATACAGGGATTGCCCCCGCAAAAAATAACCAGGAAAACTGCACCTGGATTTTAAGCATGGAAGTTATTAAATCAATATATCAAAACAATATTTTTCATATTTTTTGACAAATGCAATAAAAGTAAACTAGTTAAGAAGAGTGCATATTTAGTATTGTCACAGGTATCACTTACATCAAAACTGTAAAGACTTGCATTTAATAGAACCTTTTGGAGCTGCAATAACATCAGCCTATGCATTTACTTTTTCTATGAGGTACAAAGGTCTTAAAGAGAGTCTATTTGAGAATTTTGAGTTGGTTTTATTTCTTTTGGAGTTGGAATTTGCAATTTTTCTTAAGTTATCTGTAACAATTTCTACAGGCATTACAATTCCTATGGGCAAGAATATAAACATAAAGGCTTTATCCAAGCATAGTGACTGCACTGTGATATAGATTAAAACAAAACCTGATTTTTTCAAAATGAAGGCTGTATTTTATAAGTTTAACATAAGCAAGAAATTGCCCCAGACTCCCTCAAACTACATACAACTAAACAATAAAAAGCTCTGAACTGGCAAAGACTTGTATACATGCTTAAAATTTATGCACCGTGAATACTCTCAATAAGTCAATGTGTCTAATGGGCATCAGTCTTTATAGTCTGGCCTTTATATTTGAACATAGTATGCTTTCAGACCTTTGAGATAAATAGCCTATGGGTCAAACCTAGCAATGTAGTCTCTGGTGGAAACCCCAAATGAACTTACTGCATCTAGCTTTCAAAATAAAACTTCAGCTGAAGTTACTTATCTAGTGAGCAGAGAAACACTGACCACTTTGAAAAAAGCCTCCTACTCTCTTTGCCTTTATAGCTGGCTTCTCCCAAAGCAAAAGTCATTTCAAATACTGACAAGAACAGTGAACATTTTATATAGGTATCAAGAAATGTGTAAGGGTGCATCAGTGCATATTTACAGCACTTCCCATTGTTGCTTGGTCACAATTGCTTTAAGCCTATGCTAAGGAAGGGCAGATTCTGAGCTCAGTTGCAAAACCTTTGAATACAGGCTGTGTATAGACACTCAGGTAGGTTAAGGGGAGGTTAGATAAAGTTAAAAATAGCTACCTGATCTAAGGTAAGTCGGGACGGAGGGGCTAAGGGAGGGTTGAGGTGGACTAGGGGGGCAGGGTTGGAGTCCTAGAGGGTTTGGCGTAACCAGGGAGGCTCACAGGGTCGAGAGGAGGGGATGGGGAGGGCCTCTCTCCCCAACCCCTCTGGGACCAGGGGCTTCTTTTAGCCCTCCCATTTCCCCCTCCCAGACAAACAACCCCCATGGTGAACCTCCCTCCACCATCCTCCCCATCCCTCCCCTGGGACTTACTTCTTTGCCTCCCAGCATCAGCAAATGCTGATAAATCAGCGCCAGGAGCAGCTTGTGGGCTGGGGGATTTGGTGGGCTGGGGGTGGTGGGGAAGCTGGCTGACCTGTGGAGGGACGCTGTATGTCTGGGAAGGGGCTAAAAAACAGTCCAGTGCCAAGAAAGAGGTAGGAAAAGCACAGCCCTGAGGCTGGTGCCAACGGCTGGGCTTTCCCAGCCCCAGGGCTGTGCTGGAAACTGTACAGAAGTCTGGAACATTTAGATCAGTCTAAAAAAATGGCCAACTCAATCTAAATTAGACTACCTCAGAGATAGGGTTAACTTAGATCAGGCTGGCCATTTTCCAACCAGTCTAACCTTCCTGGAATTTCTGTATAGTTTACCCTCAGATTGACTTTACTACGGACCTAAGTGTAAGATCCGTACCTGGGTGAACTAAGTTAGAACATCTGGTGACCATTTTTAACATGATCTAACCTCCCTGAATGTCTGTATGCACCCACCGAGTAAAGTAAAAGTAGCCAAACCCTTATGAAAATGCAACTCAGAATTAAAATTTAAAACAGAAAAAAGCAGAATTATGGTTCTCATCTTAAAACTGCCACACTATACATTTAACGTACACTTTAACATACATTTAACATTCATTTAAAAGTTGATAGCAATTTGATAGCAATTAACCTAAGCAAGGTTCTTAGTTGCCAAAAATGAGCAGGCAAGTTATACAACTGTAGGAATGTCCAAGTGAATTGGCACTAAGCTACACCTCCACTCCAACTACACTGGAATTTTAGACTCATTGTTCAGCTGAAATGTATTTTAGTGTGAATTTTTCAGTCTTGCTTTTACAAAACCCAGTATTGCAGATTAGTGCAAACACCAACATTCCTATTTTAAAAAGATATTTTCAGAGACTTGGGCTTCAATTTAAAAATACCACTTGCCATTTTGGAAGAGAGTATCCACAGAAAGTATGGATGGTCATAACAAGGAAGTTCTGATTTTATCAGCTATTTGATTGGTTGTAGACCAAATAAAGCACATGAAAAAGGAAGAACAATTGAAAAATTATAAGAAATTATTCCTCCTGGGTGGAAACAATAAGAATAGCAAGTGTCTATGCTATTTTTCTTATTAACAAGTGTTTTTTACTTGCTGAAACTTTTTTTAAAGTATAGAACACTTGTTAACCATAAGCATGGCTCCCCCTTGTGGAAAGAAAACACAGTCTTCTACAGTGACTAAAACAGAAAGCATAAGATTTTAACAAAATAGTATAGACACTTCATTAGTGTACATCTAAATCTAAGATAATTGGAATGCTTGAGCTCCAATAGTGACTCTAGCAGAAGCTTTACCTTAAGAAAAATTGAAGGAATTAAGTGAACTAGAGCTAGAAAAAGGTAAGCAAATAATTACAGCAAATTTGATATATTGCGTCTTAAGCATGCATGTGACTTTCTAATGTGTTGCAAATACAATAACAAATGAAAGCCTAAAATGTCATTTTAGTTATGCAATTTACATAATTACTATACAATTATAAGCTATAAAATACTGTTCTGACAAACTACTTCGAAAAAGCACTGAATACACTAAGTATTCAAAGTATTAATCATGTCAGGGAGATTGTTATGTAGTCACCCTATCATTTTGAGGGCTCTGTGGAATAAGCTCCCCCAGAGAGCTTAGCAAAAGCAATAACTATACAAGCAAAGCTGAAGAGAAAAGTTTTCTCTACCAATTTAGCTGATTGAGACCTGGGCAGGATTGAGGTATGAGGTAGAAAAGAGCTAGTAATGGCCTTGGGCCAAAGACATGCCTTGAAAACCAACCTTCCCAGAAGACCCTGCCCAGATATGCATCCAATACAAGTAAATGTGTTTGAAGAAATCAAGGGATTTAAGTAAAGCAACAACAGGAGATATGATTCCTCATTTTCTATGTCTAGAAGCCAATCCTTTTCTCTCTTAAGGATACAACTTGAAATAGCAGTCTTTTCTTTTCTGCCTATGAGCAGGGGGACTGGCCCTGATGATCTCACGAGGTCCCTTTCAGCCCCTAAATTCTACAAATCTATGAATCTAGCTTCCCTGGGGATTCCTGCCTTACCTGGCTGTACCCAGAACAACTCAGCTGTAGAAGGCATCCACAGAAACGTAAACTAGCAAGGTTTGTACCCTGGGGAGTTTGTGGTGGGTGGAAAAGGGGGTAAAAAGAGAAGAGGTGCTGCTGAGGGTTGGGGGTAGGAGAAGCAGGAGTCTTACCTGCTGCTACTGCAATAGCGTGGTCTACCTGTCCTGGTTGTTGGTGCTACAGCAACAGCAATGACTCTCCAGAGATAGGAGGGAAGGTTCCCTGGCTACATCCTGTTCCCTCCCACCCCCAGTTACACTACTGGGTATCAGATGGTAAAGGAGGAAAGAATTTAGACACTTTCAGCAGTCAGCCAGCCATAGCTAAAGCTACTAAAAAAAGAAGACAGGCAAAACTAAAGGTGATAGTAATCTGGATGGCAGATGACACCTAGACACCTATAGAGACAAAAAGAAAAAGCTAGGAAGTGTGTAATTGAAGTAGAAAAGCAAAGGAGAAGCAGGAGAGAGAGAAACCAACACTGCTACCACCTTCTGAGTAGCAGAGTGCACAGTTGGGGGGGAGGCAGGAGAGGGCTGTCAGAACAAGCACAATCATAAAGGCAGACTAAAGGACGCAGCTGCAGCAGTTTTCAGTAAGGGTGAGGAGACAGTAGGAGGTAAAAGAAAAGGACGTTACTGATTTTACTGTAGATGGGACAGGAAAGCCAAAAGAAGCAGGTATAAGACCAGAAGGAAAGGAAAGGGAGAGATGGAAAAAGTAGCAGGGAAGGAGAGGGTGGGAGGGGGAAAACAGTAGTAGATGATACAGAGGAGCAGGATTAGAACAGATTTTGCTAGCAGCTAGCAACAGAATGTAAAGGGAGGTAAAGATTTATGAAAAGAGGAAACAAGGTTAAAAGCAAATAGAAATGATAGGAGTCTAGGAAGTTAGATGAATTATTAAATGCTTTGGGCTTCTTAATAACTCAAACATCTAACAAAGATTAAAGGTGCTCAGATAATAGTGAGGAGTGTCATAAAAATAATTACATACTGTTGCCTTTACATTAGGATACACAGCATCTCCCATCTAACAGTACTTTAAAGCTGTCTCTGCCATTTCATCTGTCTCGACAGTTGCATGCATTTTGCATTTGTACCCGCATAGAATAAGTTTGATTCATTTAAAGGACTGAGCTGCAAGTCTATTTTAGCTAATAGTTCAGAAAAGAAACTGTTACTTTTTGGGAATGAATTATGAAAGAGGACCCTTGTCTAACCAACTATTTCCATAGCTAAATGTAAACAAACTACCTCAAAGTGGAACAAAAAACATTACAGTATCTAATATTTCAGAGGCAAGATATAAATACAATTCTCTGCATACAGTGGAGAGAAAACCCCTGGACTTTTTGGAGGAGGCTGCTATGCCCACCAAAAGGTTCTTCCCCCACCACACAGCAGAGAGGAGAGGTACAATTCAACAACTGTGTGAACAGACCGCCATGCTGAATAACACGTCTTGAATGTCTAAGCTGCTCCTGTAGACATTTTTGTGAATTCAAATGTATGAAAGGAGAAAACTTTTGCTAATTCAGACTGTCTGCTCCCATCTAAAATAAGACTGCTACCAGGAATACTTCCATGTGAGGATTTATAATTTAATGGGTACTCTGCCCATTTTACAGATTGGTATAATTTAGGCACCGGGAAGCCTTGTGGTTTTTACAGATAATAGTTATATGACACTATTTTTTATTAGTCACAAACCAATCTACCAATATATATGCTTGAAGTATTTCCTTTCACTC